TAGGTTTCGTCAATCGTCGTAAGTTTCGTCAATCGTCATAGGTTTCGTCAATCGCCATAGGTTTCGTCAATCGTCAAATCGTCAATTAGAGGTCACCTGACGAAATGGTTTCGTCAATCATCAATGGCGAAGGTTTCGTCATTCGTCAGGCATCTTTAATCACAAGATAAATCCAATTCTTGATCTTTATTTACAAATTCCATGTCATATTTCATTAAGACTGTAACTAAAAGAACTTTTATTTCAGTTAGCGCCCAGAGCTTTCCCTGTTAATGTAAATTATGTAAATTAGAAACCTTTTAAATTTATTTAAATCATTCATAAATTATATAAATTAATAAATTATATAAATTATAGCTTTCATTAGTACTAATACAAACCGGACAAATTCTAGCACCTCCACCAAATGTTGCAAATGCCCTTTTATTATTAGCTTCTTTAGCATTCATTGATCGCTTATTATTTCCATTCTTCAAGAACCTTTCGGAATCAAAAATTTCTGCATCAATCCAATCATTTTTATTAATATTTATTCTCTGGTATTGTAAAAAAAATGTTTGTTCCTCTTTCCATAGATATCCACCAACTTCAACAGGTTCAGAATTCGATCGTTGCAGATATGGAAATGGAGCGTTTAAGCGAAGTGCTTCTTTGATTAAGGAGTCACAATATGATAGTTTTTCTGTGCCTTCGTAAAGAGAATTTAAAGATATTGAATTTCCGAATATCTCATTGATTTCAGAAAGTGCTTTAGCCTTTACAGAAGGATATTTGCATATATAATAAAATACTGAACACATCGCAGTTGCAACCTATTATGAGTTAAATATAAATGTTATGAATATTAGTATTATGTTCATTGTATTATTACAAAATTATATTAAATAATTAACTACCGTTTCAAAAGAACCAAGGAAAACATCTCTAAGAATACAAAAAATTTCATAATCATTTAACGGTCGGTTCAATGACTTAAGTGAAGTATGTTCTAGATCCCGTGGTGTGTTAGCAGTAAGGAGCAATGTTAAAAAGTCGGAAGGCAGTAAAGTATAATTGGATAATGAATTGATTTCTGCACGTCTTCTTTGAATTAACTCTGTTAAAAAGTCTTCTAACTGTTGTTTAAGGCTTAAGACCTTGTTGTTAAAGTAGCTTATGCCAGGAGCGCGTCTTATAAAGATGGGATTAAAAGCATCCCTTAAATTAAAAAAAAAAATACATATATAAAAGATTTTAATTATAATAGCTTATTTGCAATATACGATATACTGTATAAAAATTATTACGTACATTGTCCTGATTTAAAACATGAATTAACAATAGAAATCAGTTTCAAAGA